CGGTCCGGTCGTCCGTCTCCAGGCGCAGCGCTCGACAGTCGAGTGTCGACCCAGTCGTCATGCGAAGGTTTAGAAAACGATAGACTTACAAATTGTGTCTGGATAATGGGGAATTAGCCTGAGGCAAATGTCTAAAGTGTACCTTAAGCATGAGCTCGCAGTGTAGTATGAGCAGAAGGCATAAAAAGACAATGGTCCGTTTCCTAAGAAATGACAACAAAATGAGGGTTTTGAAGAAAACAAACGAGATAGACGATTACTTGAGACATAAGATTCCATTTCGGAGGGAAAATCCGCCGTTAAGTATGAATAGGGTAAGTCATCGTCTGTCATGTGACGGAAATGGTCGAGCAAAAAAGTACAATTTACGATAAAACACAGCAAATACAATAAGCCAAGAAATGAAAGCTAGTCCGAGCAATCACACTTGCTTTGTATGCCCAACTTTGTTATCCTGATGTGGCATGCCATGCTTCGGTTGACGATTCCAAACCGAACAAACACAAGCTTTCGCTAAGGTATCGTATTTAATCCAAATCTTAGCTTAAAACCACATGACCCAAGTAGAGGACCGTCTGCTTCAAAAAGCAATTTTACTTCTCAGACTACTTGTAAAATATACGTACTACTAGTCTGGCGTTTGGCTACACGACGAAGAGAGAATTGAGATGAATTACTGAAGGCAATGAATCGGTTGGATGGAGGAATCGAATTTAATGTAGAGTTTGAAAAGGAAGATAATTTAGTTTTTACAAATGTCTTGATGAGTAAAGAAGAAACAAAGTTGAGTAGAGAAATGTTTAGGAAACCGAAGCATACAAACTTCATTGTTGATTAATTTGCTAGTCATGCAAATGGGATCAATGTAGGTACCATGAAATCGGTGATAATAAAGAGTCTGCGTCTTGAGGATGTAAAGCCTAGAGAAGCACGAAATACAAAGATTAAGAGATATTTTCGTTAAAAATACTTAGCAAATGTGCTTAATTGAGAAATTTATTTCATTACTCAAAACTAGAATGTAGCAAAAAAACTATTTTGGACAGGACAGACAGATAGGCCATTCTACCTGTTTCTTGGTGTTGCCATCCCGTCAAGTTTGGACAAAGGTAGAAGATCACTGAGGAAATGGACCACCAGAAGAAGGTACAAAGAAAAGCTAACACCAGCTTTAGTTACTGCTTCTTTTCGAGAAATTTTGCACCCTTATTCTACATCAAAATACTATGATTTTTGGTGCTCATGTGGTAATTCCTATGTAGAAGACCCATGCATAAGAGGACATCTAATGACAAAATCGCATGTACAGTTGAATGTATGTGAAGAGCCGAACTGGCCCAACACATGCTTAATGCAGGACACAAAATAGATAAACCCTAAACACAAGTCTTTGCAGGTTACGGCGAATTTACATGCAGACGTAAGATAAGGGACATCCATACCACAGAAAGTGGTATGAGAAAGGCCTGACCATCCTTGAAATTCGCACCTGCCCTGTTAACCAGGCGCACTTGTGGCAGTGTGACGTAGTCGTCCGTGTCGGGATTACCCGTTGCACCACCACAAACTGGGTTCGAATCCCGCCCTAGTGCTGCTGAGTAGGCGAGGTCAGGCGAGGTCGAAAGCGAAGTCCACACCTGCATGAATGAGAATTCCTTTCGGGAAGCAATGCTATGTGAAATTGAATGGAAACTCAATGTCCACTCATATACTTGTGTGAAAATTCAACTACCGCTCCTTTATTAGCTTTACCGAATAGGGCAAATACATATTACTTATATGATCTACTAGCAGTCTTGTCTGGATTCCATTGTATGCATCATCATTTGCAGAGTAGGACCGTGGACGGTGTACATTGCCAGACGTTTCGTCGGCATTGTAGTCGGAATCGTCAGTGAGTTTTGCCATTCGTAGCACCATATTACAACTCGTCAAAGAGACAAGTGAAGCCGATCCTTTGACCACACGTTTGGTTGTAATATGTTGCTACGAATGGCATAACTCACTGACGATGCCGACTACGATGCCGGCGAAACGTCTGGAAATGTACCATGTCCACGGTCCGACTTTGGAAATGATTATGCATTCAATGGACTCCGGACAAGGTGCGTTCCTCTAAGTCTTCCTACCAATATGACCAAGTTGCGAAAACAAGGT